AGATTCGACTGCATTTTACATATTGTTCTCGTTTCATTAATTGAACTCTTTTTCGACATGATTCGGTGAAGAATGGAAAATTAGTTTCTTTATAATTTGATTAAACGTTTGAATAACGTCGAAATGTACCATAAATACAGAGACCGAAATTACAGTAAATTCTCCCTAGTTTAATAATAATAATAATACTATTATTATATTATATTATATTATTATTATTATATTATTACATTATTATATTATTAGATTGCAGATGCGATAAATGCATTCAGATCTGCAATTCAATTATAATTGAAATATATGCGTATTTATAGGTTAGTATAGGGAGCAATGAATATTGACTACAACCTTTCAACCCTTCGTGGACTCCTGATACTGGAGGCAGCCGTTCAAGAGACCCTTCGTGCCGATCGATAAAGCTCGCGAATTTATTTTGCAATGAATTATTTACAGTCCAAACGTTTCGCAATTTCGCGCAAGAAAATTTAATTATCGAATGAAACAGTGAAATTTAAAATACTAAATATTACGTTTCTCTTTGTAAAACTGTTTATAATTTGCAAGAATCAACAGGAGCATTAAGTTAACGAACGTACAAAATTAAAATCGATATCCGAGATTCCAGATGCAAAATGGAACGGTAAAATAATATTTAAACAAATTGAGTCATCATCAAATTAATATTTTATTAATCCGGGCAACATCATCTCGATCGCGTACAGTTAGTGAAAAATTGTGGTGCTCGCAAATTAATTCGCATTTTTCAGTATCCCATTACTGTGGCCACCACCGCGCGCCGCAAGTTTAGTGAACCTGATATGCCATTATCTTGCAGCGCACCTATACATTTTTCGCGAGCCATCATCGATAACGATCGTCAGCTCGCGAGAACACATCGACCGCTTATTAAACCCTGGTCGAATTGATTAAATAGCGGCATTATAAACAGAGAAACAATTATTTTCTCTGAAGATATTTTACACGGAAACGATTCTAGGAAGCTCCGCCAAAATTATTTCCATTTACTTTATAAATCCCGTCGATACAATTTCTCATAAGGGGTAAATAGTATTCCGACGATACCGTTGTAATAAATAAAGAAATTAATAATTATTGTTAACGACATTTTTCGCTATTCGATCAGAAAGTTATTTAAAAGTTATACTTACCGAAGAAAAACAGTGGCCGACGTATATGTATGTTGCTTTCTGAAAATAATGGGACTGATTTTGTTTAGACTCTTTTCGCCATTTTTATTACAAATTATGATTTTCTGTAATTTTTTTGATTTCAATAATAATAATTTCAATCGTTTCGCCGATTTAACCTCGGAGAATTTTCTCGAGAACAAGACTCGAAAAAATATGCAATGATGAAAAATTGGAGATACAGGAAATTCTCTCTAATTAACGGTTAGATTGTGCACAAAAAAAGGATAATTTGGGAAGAGGAGATACGATTAATCGAGCCTTGCGGCTCGTTTTTATAATTGTTGATATATATAATAATAAATATACAGGGTGTTTCACAATTATTTTAACAGCCGAAAATGAGGGGTAGCTGAGGTCATTCTAAGTAACTTTTTCCTTTGCGAAAATGCAATCTGCGGCTTTGTTTACGAATTATTATATAATTATATATTATAATAAAATATAATATAATATATATATATATATAATAATATATATATATATAATAATATATATGTATATATATATAACAGTTGATATGCATAATGATTGAAGTATATATATAATAATAAATAACTTTGCGGCCGATGTTTACAGTTCCCGAATTGTTCATTTTTGTGCGCAATCTCAGCGTGAATTAGGCAAAAATTTACTGTAATTGATTCACGTAAACTTTAACAAAATGTCACATCGATGCAAATTTTTGTAAAAAAAAAACAAGGGTTAAATCGAGAAGTGTGAAATTTTAGACGAAAAGTTTAAAGCATAAATTATTGTTCCATTTTGTTGGAGGGGGGAGGGAGAGGGAATAACATCGCGCATGGATCAGCTCAATATAAAAACATTGAATTTATTCGAGTCGATTACACAAGTACAGAAATGACAAATAAATAATAAATGCGATGGTAACGTGATACAATAAATAAAAACCGTAACGCTACTGTACGTGTTTTACGTGTAAGCCACAATAAATATACCTACTACGTATACTTGATAAAATGCAAATGGGGGAAGAGAGTCCTGTTACGATATCTACTAGAGTGCCGCGTGTATAAAAAACGTTTTTTTTCCAGTATCACGTCACGTGTGAATACCAAGTACAAAAATATCTAACTTTAAAGTACGCATGTACGGCTAAGTACCGGTTCAATGCGAAACATTGATTGTCATATCTTCTTCAAGTCGACGATACGCATGCATCTTTTCCCATAGAAAAATCATTCTTAATACGTTAAATGGTCCCTCGATAGACGCGTCTTTAACCCTAGAAGAGGTGTGCGCGCGTAGGTCTCTCCCTCTCTCTAAGTACATCCGATCCGAACTTAAGGAAACGAACAAAAGACGGCGAACGAACGCCTTTTGGAAACGTTGGCAAAACGGCTGTTGATCTTTCGCCGTCGTTTCCACGTTCGAGACGCTCGAAAGCAACTATAATAAGCAGACTGCGGATCTCCGCGCAAAATCAATATTTTTCTGTACTCGAACACAGACAGACAGACAGACAGACAGACAGGCGTTCATTTCTTCCCACAGCTTCCATCTCTCGAATTAATAAATCGAGAATCGATACGGCGGCGTTCCGTAACGCTTGAATAATGGTCTTTCGAGCAGAAATCGTTCATTTTTTACCGACAGACATTAAAGCGACTCGCATATTTGTTCCACTTAGCCCTGAGAAATTGTCAGATTTATTCATTCTCGAATTCCATGTTAAAAAGTTTCTGTAATTTATCTCGACTCTCCTTAATTTTACTTAGAAAATACTCGAACAAATTTGCGAATCGCTCGCGGACACGTGAACGCCCCCGATCATCGGCAGGCCGCCGCGCGGATCTTTACGAGAACGCGTAATTTCGTTAAAAATCAAAATAAGGAAAGATCGGTCCGGATAAGAATAAAATAAAAATATTATTACGCTTCGCGCGAATACGCGCCGATGCACTTTGCATTTCCGTAAATCGGCGCACGCCGTGAAAGCAATGAAAGATCCGCGCTAATAAGCATCGTTACACGCTTGGAACTCTCTCGAGAAAAGAGTCCGCGCCGAAAAAGAGTTGTGATTCTCGGAATATTTTCGCTTTTTCGAGATATCGAGGCTCAACTCCTGCGACGAAAGCACAGAATCCGCAGTCCGGGAAGATAACCGCGGAGAAAGAGAAAACGAGATTCTATGGAACGGGAGAGAGAGAGAGAGAGAGAGAGAGAGAGAGAGAGAGAGAGAGAGAGAGAGGGAAGCACGAGTAGAATTAAAACAAAAAATAAAAAGTGGAAATCCGATTACACCTAAAATACGTAATAGTACGCGTGAACGTACGCCACTTACGATAAGTAACGCGCCTATGTATAAAACGTAGGAACTCTGTACGTACGCGTACGCTGGAGATATCACAGCTAAACAACATTAAGCTAGAGCCTACTAATGTTAAAGCTACAATAAATAAGTTTGACAAACCGTTCTCCGGCCCGTCGAAATTCGATCGACGACTCTTCCCCCCGCCGGTGTCCTTTAAAACAACCCCTCGCGTGCCTCGAATATTCGCGATTAGAGCCACAATTCGACGCTCTAATCGCGCGAAACGAAAGAATATCGCGCTCGCGATCCCGAAGAGAGCTCGAACGTCGATGCTTTGTCTCTCAGATCGTCGAAATCCGCTCAAAAAAAAAATAAAAAAAGATGTGCGAAACACGTTTGTTGGATTGTCATGAATGAACTGAAGCGATTGTCGAATATCGAATCGATGAATAAAATAGTGTAATGAATAAAATAAAATAAAATAAAATAAAGTAAAATAAAATAAGGTTGATATAATCTATGACCGGCGCAAATCGAACGGGTTCAATTATAATGATTGCCGTAGAAGACTTCGGCAGTCGATGGAATCGATGGAAAATACGGACGCGCGAACGAAGCATTTTGTCAAAATTATTCACTAACCTTGTTATTTAGTTATATTATTAGATATATAATACTGTTCTGAAATATATTTCTTAATACTGGTCTCTAGTATACAACTGGATTCTCAACGATGCTATCTAGCTACGGTGGCCCGCGAAGCTGTTCCAACACCTTTTAAATTGTAATTACTTTTTGAAACTGGACTAAAGTGACTTGAACTGTTTTTTTTTTTTAAGTGACTTGACTACTAGACGATGACTGAAATGCTTTTATCGTTTAATTTTGTTATTACTTGGAGTGACAAAAAAAAATAAAGCTCTCGATCTTTAACTTTTTTATCGGAACCTGTAACGAAAATTTAAGAAATACGCGTGCTGAAAGTTTTATCGTAATCGGTTTGATATTGTTATGAGTTACGACGAATTAAAGATGGCAAAAATGCAGTTTTATCGCGATTTTGATCAAAAACTGAATGAAATCTGCAGTTTTTTAAATCTTTAGGCTCAGATAAAGAAAAAGTTAAAAGACGAGAGTTTTTTACTTTCTTTCTGTCATCCCAAGTGATAACAAAATTGTTACAAGAGTTAGAACAAATTAAAAATGGCAGAAAAGCAGTTTTATCACGATTTTGGCCAAAAACTGAATGAAATCTATAGTTTTTTTAAATCTTTAAGCTCAGATAAAAAAAGGTAAAAAGACGAGAGTTTCTTACTTTCTTTCTGTTATCCCAAGTGATAACAAAATTGTTAGAAGAGTTAGAACAAATTAAAAATGGCAAAAATGCAGTTTTATCACAATTTTGGCCAAAAACTGAATGAAATATGCAGTTTTTTAAATCCTTAGACTCGGATAAATAAGATAGAAGACTAGTAAGAAAGTTTCTTACTTTTTTTCTGTCATCCCAATTGATAAAATTTAAAAAAGACATTTTAGTCATCGTCTATCGTCCCTCTATCGTCCTAAAAACTCATTTACTCGAGTTTGAAAAAAGTTCCTACATTTCAGAAGATGCGCGAACACATTCGTGGGCCGCAGTATGCGTCGAACGCGCCGATCGACGGAAGCCAACGCGCCGGTTTCGAATACGACCGCCTCTCTCTTCGAACAGACAACGCGCGTCGGAACGAACTGGCAAGAATATGGGAGAGAAAGCATGTTGCGAATCAATGGGGCGACGAAAATAAATAGAAATCTGCCAGTGATAATACAAAGTGCGGGGAGCTTTTCTCGGGGAAGCGTCCGGAGAAGCGGGCGAACGCGACCTTCGCGCTTCGACCCGAAGATCGTCGTTCGACCAGTTCCCGGCGACGAATGCGAATCGGAAGCTTCTCCTTTAGGGGGAGGACAACGAAAGTACCATGATCGAACGTGATCGATAAGATCGGCGAACCAAACAACGGTGCTAATCGTCGTTCGCCCCGCGCGACGAAGGGCTCGCCGCTCCGCGAAATTCAGATCCATGGGAAACGAAAGAGAGTCGTACGCGTCGAGGTTGCCTGTTAAATTAATTCGTTAATAAATTGAAAAGATCGTCGCGCCGGTTTCATGACGCTTCCAGCAGCTTTTGCTTGTTCCTCAGCCGTCTGTTCCTCGGGAGATCCTTCTTCGATCCCTGCGGCAAGGAACTGTTCTGGCCGGCGGCCATCGTGCGCCTCCGAACCGGCCTGTTCTGCTTCTTGATCTTCGTCATCTTTTTACCCTTCGACCCGGGACCCTTGTGGATCACTTTCGGCCCGTGGCTCTGCTTGTCCGGGCAGGTGCCCGGTCCGTTCACCTTCGCGGTCGCGTCCCGAAACGCTTTCGTCCAGGCCTTCAGGAATCTCTGGTACAGCCTGATCACGCCCCAATCCTGGATCAGCATCAGCGTCAGGTCGCCCTCTTTCGCCCAGTTCGAGCTCTCCGTGACCATCCTCTCGGTGTGGGACGTGGACGTCTTTATTCCTAAGTTCGAGATGGCTGTCTCCACTTCGCACAACACCTGCAACGAAAACGCGTCCCATCAAATCATACGTACGCCCACGACCATTCTCCGACGTTATTTTTACGTTAGGCGCGTTGTGTAATTACCAGCGCGAATTTAACCGCGTGTACAACCGACTCACTCTACTCGACCTTTCGCCTTGTCCGCGATTTTTTAGCTACCGGAAGACTATTAAAGACACAGTTACCGGCTACCGCCGCGACGTTCGCGTTGCTGTCTCTCCGTCGTTAAACGATCTTTTGTGTACGAAGGATCGTGATTCTTTTTGTGAAACGTTGAACCAATTCGACGGTGTATGACTTCTGTGGTTCTCTGCGACTCGATATAACGGCACACGACGTGATAGATTATTTTCTGTTATGTTTGTTTAGAGAGATCGTGGACGCGTCGCAAATGCGAGCGAAGATAATTGCGTCGATGCGATCAACGTTTCGTGTCGCAATTGAATAGAGCGAGACGGTTTTATGGTTGAATTGTGCTTCGAGATGATTGTGTTTTAGATCAATTTGTATTAGTATTTTCGGTTATGTCAAGGTATTACTGGGTTATAGTAATTTATTGTATAATGTAATTAATGTAATTTAATTGTATATAATATATTATTTGTACTGGAAATGGTAATACTTTGTAAAATCGAAAAATAGTAATACATAATTGAATATAGTAACAGAAATTTACAGTAATGATTTATTATTATTATTATATATAATATTATTATTATTATATATAACTATATTATTATTATCATATATAACTATATTATTATTACAATTATATATAATAATTATTACTATAAATTGAATATGGTAACCAAAATTTATATTAGTAATTAATTATAATATACAACTATACTATAACATATTATATATAATATTATAATACAATCACATATAATAATTAATTACTGCAATAACTTTTTGTGTCACCGTGTTCAGTTACGTATTACTATTTTTAGATTTCACAAAGTATTACTATTTCGAGTCGGTATAGAATCGGTATTACTATTTCTAGTTGTGCAGATTTGCATGAAAATGAATGACTGTACGACGCTGCAGTTTCAATGCCACCGCCGCCGCCGCCGCCGATATGTCGACATACGTCCTCAAAGTAGTAATAAAGAAACATGCCGCGAGACTCTTAAAGCTTAATAAGATAGGAATGCGTACCTTGAGGATCTCGTTGAACATCTGCATAATGATCTTGTTTCTTGTGCCCATGGTAAGATCAACGTTAATGTTCGATTTCAGGCGGAAAGCCGTGAGATGGTCGAACGTAATTGCGAACCTTTGCAACGAGTCGTGAAGATGCGGAAGCGTGCGGTTCGCTTTCTTTTCCTTGTCGAGACACCAAACTTCGTTCCAATACCACTCGAACTCCTTTTCGGGAAGCCAGGACATTTTGTACTGCTCTTTCAGCACTTTGTACACCTGCGAATCAAACTTCGGGATACTGTTTAATCGACACGCTCGACAGTCGCTCACGGACTGTTTTTTTCTACACGGCGCAAAATTATGCACTTGACTTTTTTCCACGAATCGCGCGTTCCGCTTCGAACTACGTTATTCCGACGCGAACCGAAAGGGGCCACGAGATTCCTGAACCACGGTGTTAAAAAGAAACGCGAGTGCGACGATAAACCAATCCGATTCGACGGTTCATTTCGCCGTACGTACGGTCGAACGGGAAACTTTTCGCGGCAAATATCGAGAACGCTTTCTTAACGAAAGTCTGATCGATGTAATTAATACCGTTGCAGCACGCAACAATGACTAAAATATATACGATACTTCGCGACGAATTTATATGTTAGTTATTTAATACTTTCATTGCAAGCTTTCTCAAAATTTTAGTTATCACAAATTTTGCACCATTTGCACACATGGATGAAACAATTCTTCTCGCAAATATAAATAAGACAAAAATCTAAATATGATTATTTATATAATAATATAATATTAATATGATACTATTATTATTATAATATTAATAATATAATAATATTTATATAATCATAATATAATAATATTTATATAATATTAATATAATTATTTATATAAAATATAAATAAAAAAACAGTCTCGCTTAAAATGCGTATCGTATCTATTCAAAGTTGCTTTCGCTTCAAATTTAATACTCTTGTTCGATTCGAAGTTAAAATGGCTGCTGGTGCAAAGGGTTAACTCTTCATCGTATTACTTCGCATTTCATCGCATAGTTGATTAATACCTCTTTCGTGGGAAAAAATACTTTCTTATTCGAGAGAAAAAAAAAATTGTATATTATTTGCATGCATCGCGTTAATTTGAATTGACAAACATTGACGACGATCGTAATCAATTTCGCATTAACCTTTTGCACTTTTAGGAGCAGATTTTATTTTTGAGAAAAATCATTACGCTGCTCGAAAATTTTATAAGAACTGATAAATGAAAAATTGTGTGTTTCCAATTATGCATTTTACGTGATTACCTTACAGTACGTAGAAAAATAATAATTAAAAAAGATGCCACTTTGACGCGAATATATTGTGTAGAGGCACCACTCAAATTGTTACATCTCGTTCCAACATAATTTTTATATTATAAAAGCTTAGATATAAAAAAATTATTAAAAGTCTAATTGTTGTACGAGTCACAAGACTAAATTTTATACGCATAAAATGCACTTTGTCATATAAAATAGAAACACCATAAGTCAGAAGAATNTTGAATTGACAAACATTGACGACGATCGTAATCAATTTCGCATTAACCTTTTGCACTTTTAGGAGCAGATTTTATTTTTGAGAAAAATCATTACGCTGCTCGAAAATTTTATAAGAACTGATAAATGAAAAATTGTGTGTTTCCAATTATGCATTTTACGTGATTACCTTACAGTACGTAGAAAAATAATAATTAAAAAAGATGCCACTTTGACGCGAATATATTGTGTAGAGGCACCACTCAAATTGTTACATCTCGTTCCAACATAATTTTTATATTATAAAAGCTTAGATATAAAAAAATTATTAAAAGTCTAATTGTTGTACGAGTCACAAGACTAAATTTTATACGCATAAAATGCACTTTGTCATATAAAATAGAAACACCATAAGTCAGAAGAATGAATTTAGATTTATAGTCAAAATGGCTTCGAGTGCAAAGGGTTAATAATTTCCTGCGCAAGAAAGAACAATATTCCTTCTCCGCCAACTATAATTTTAATTTTACTTATCCGTCATACACGAACAACAGATATTCATTTCGACGATACATTTTAAGGTATAATACCCACACTAACCCTGTAAAAATGTCGCGAAAAGGGTAGTCCGCGGTCGAAAAACGGCTGGTAACCGCGGCGCGGATTTCGCAACCGGGCTCGCGAGAGAGACCAGGAAACCGGCCCGTTCGCGAAATAGAAAAATCGCAATTACGTTGGTGCGTGGCACATCGTAACAAATGCAAATTGCAGCCGCGGCGGAAAGTAGGACTTTAACGCTAGTAATGCACCGCGTCGTGCCACACGTGCGAGCCTCTTTGAAGCGGTCGCCCACTCTCTTTTACCTCGGTACGGTTCAGCGATTAATTACGAATCGCGGTCAGGTCGGGCATTGCGATTTACCTTCGAATATATGTCGTGCACATCCTTCAGATGCATCTTGAAGTGATTCTGGGCGACCCGGAGCTGGGTGCGCACCCTCTTCAGGGTCCTGTGCACGCTGTGCCGTTGCGGCATGTTCCTGAACTGGATCGGCACCGGATTACCGCAGGGCTGCTCCCACCGGTTCATGGTGTTCGAGCTGGTTACGAGCTGGTTCAGAACGGGTGCGCACGACACCGTGTTCAGGCTCGAACTCAGGAAAAGCGCGAGACTCGTCAAAGTAACCGTCTGTGCCACCGAATCTGTAACACCGACGCAATAACACATGTCAGAAGAATACCCTTCGTATAGACTCGATTTCTTTGATCATTCTATCGCCTTGCCTCGAAAGCGGGACACCGCCCTAACGCTTAACCTTTTAGGTACGGCTGAATTCTGCGCGAGGCTATTTCTCTGGACAGCAGAATCTGATGTGTACTGTACAGAGCCTGATACTGTATATACAGGGGGTGTCCCAAAAATGTCTCGCAATCCGAAAGTGGCGGGTTGCTTAGGCCATTTGAAGCAACTTTTTTCTTTACAAAAATTTTCTCCGAGGCACCGTTAACGAGTTATTAACGAAAAACAGTGACCAATGAGAGTCGAGCTCGGCTGGCGCGAGGCGATCGAGCCAATGAGCGGAACTGGGCTTCGCGCGCTGATTGCCTGAGCCGCCTCGCGTCAGCCGTACTCGATTCTTATTGGTCACTGTTTTTCGTTGATAACTCGTTAACGGTGCCTTGAAGAACATTTTTGTAAAGGAAGAAGTTGCTTCAAATGATCTCAGGAACCCTCCATTTCCGGATTACGAGACATTTTTAGGACACCTTGTAGATTCGATTTCTTTGAGCATACTATCGCCTTGCCTCGAAAGCGGGACACCGCCCTAACGCTTAAAAGAAATCGATTTTCCGCGCAGAGCATTCTACGGTAAGATTTTATCGATGCGTCAATTCATTAATCTTTTATTAGCATTTATAGGCGAACTTTCCTTTTCTGAAAATAAAAACAGCTGGTTTTTTTGGGCTGTGACCATTTCTATAATTATTAGAATTCGAACGTCCCAGTGCACGACAATTTTAATGGTTATTCGATATTCTACGAGAAAAAATTTTTACTTCTAAGAGATTGGAGAACAAAGACGAAATTCTCGCCATTTACATTCTCATAGAAAAATTAGGTCTTTTCTTTTGGTAATTAGCTGTATTAAAATTGCGAAATTTATTCCGAAATCTATTTTCTCAACGCCTTAGCGCGGTGTTCCACTCCCCCTTAACACCCCTGCTCGAAAGTATAGCATATACTCTTATATAATACAGCGGAATTTGCATTTGTTGTTGAAAAAAAGCAGGAATCGCTTGAGGTACCGATCGTATTTAGAATACTTTTAATTAATCGAAAATTGGAAAAAGTTAATTCCTTGGAAATTTAATCTCACTGATTATTTCACATACTTAAACTACCGGTGATTTTCTAACAATTCTATTAAAATCGAATGCTAAGTGAAAAGAGTTTCTTGAAAAATTGTTCAAAATTGTCCCTAAATGACGCTCAGATTGTCCACAAAAGCGGACAATTTGCGAAGATGAGATACGATTATTCGAGCCTTGTAGCTCGTTTCTTTTTATAACTGTTGACAATTGGTAACTATAAAAACGCATTGCGAGGCTCGAATAATCTCCTCTCCCTAAATTGTCCATTTTTCTGTACAATTTGAGCGTCAATTAGAGAGACAATACTGTAGCTCGGAACGCGGGGCTCGAAATCGGAACGTTCCGCGACAAGAACGAGGAGAGGAGGAAACGAAGGCGAGAGGAAATTCGAGGTCCACGGGGATTAAAGGGGCGCCGAGTAAAAGGTTAATGACGTCGGATCAGGAAACGTATTGCGAATTGTTATTGCGAGAGAAGGTCGCATGTGCGGCTTCCTGTCGAAGCCGCGCACGCGCGAAAGAGAGATTGTCGAAAAGGAAAGAGAGGAACTCTTCCGACTTTCACAGTCGCGTATACCTACATGGATACGTAGGTACCTACGTTGCACCTACGCGCCAATTTAACAGCGACCAATCGTCGCCCCCGCAGTAGGAAATGGGTTGCAAATCGGAGAATCAGGATTTATTGCGCAATTAAACGTCCTGGCTTACGACTTCCTTCGCAATTCCATACCTCGCGAACTCACCCCGAAGGCGTGCGCGGATCTCCTCGACTTTTTTACGAGGCCAGACCCCCGCCGGTTAATAAATTTCACACGGGCATCATTATTGTACGATTTCGTGTAAACGTAACCGCGACGCGTCGATTAAAATTGATTTATCCGTCGTATTACGAGAGAGGGGGGCGGCGGCACCTTTTTTTTCCCCCCCGTCGAATAATTTATCCGGACGAGAGAGAGAAAGAGAGAGAGAGACTCTTGACGGTCGAATCGAAATAAAAGATTCGCCGATTATTTACAACGAGAAAGTAGGAAAAAGGTTACATTTTCTTGTGTACTCTCCGGGATATGTTCGTACGTAGCGCTCGCGTACGCGCTAACAAACGAGAAAGATAGAAAGTCGGTTTCACCAATAATGTCAGCGTACAATATATACAACACAACGAGTCACGACAGTGTGCTCGTGGACTTTCAAATGCGCCGTTCGAAAAGCGCTGGTCGAATTCCCGCAAAATCGTCGCGCTCTTCTTTCGCCGGCGCCGTTCGCTCGGAAAATTCTACCGTTTCCCGTTTCCGGATGCAGCAATGTCTCTCTAATTAACGCCCACGATTGACCACGAAAATGGACAGTTTGGGAAGAGGAGATACGATTATTTCGATAGCCTCGCGTTATGGTTATAAATTGTCCACGATTATAAAAACGAGCCGCTCTTCCAAATTGCCCATTATTAGTGGACAATCTGAGCGTCAGTATGGGAGACATTACTGTACTCTTAACCTCTTAGGCACTATGCGCCACTATAGTGGCCTTCGCTGACATCATCTTTCTGTACGACGCGCCACTATAGTGGCTTTGTTTGTTAAATTGTTAAAGTTAATATGCGTATATCATACCTTTAAGAAAAATTATAATCTAATCATCGAACACTTCATTCCAAAATACTATAATATTATAGTATTTTTATATTATATAGTAATTAATTAATAATATAGTATATTTATATTTATTATTATATATAATAATATTGACATATAATAATGATTGATATATAATAATAATAATATATAAAAATAATAATTGATATATAAAACAATCAATTATTATATATATATCCTTATCATATATTATGTTATTATTATATATATCAACAACTATAAAAATGCGTTGCAAGGCCCGAATGACCGCATCTCCTCTTCCAAAATTGTCCATTTCTGTGCGCAATCCGAGCGCGAATTATAGAGAAACTACTCTATCGAGATATTTTTCATACTACAGACTTCATTCTTGTCATGTACAAAACACCTCCAATTCGTACCACACCGTACGAAAGTATAAAGAAAAAACGAACGCGTACGATGATCTGCAGACGACGCGTCCCGCGACAAGATAATCGGTGTCACTTGCAAATTATGTTTCGCAACGAGCGTCAGTATCTCTAAATAAACTATTAAAACGGCCGTTAAAAGTCCGCGCATTCGGTCCTCTCGTACACGGTTATGCGAGAAGAGCCCGGTTTGATTGCGCTTGACGGATCAGCGGGACCGGGAGAAGCGCGCGCGCGCGCGGGTCCCCGGTCCGCCGCGAGGGTAATTAACACGCGTTAATTGCTCGTGCGTGCGTGTACATCCATCCGAAGTGGCGGTGCGTGTGTTCAGGCGCAACCTGTCACGGCGATTCGATACGATCGTTCGTGCAATTCGCACGTCAGTCACGCGTGAACGAATACACGTCTGAGCCCGCGCCGCGGACCCGGCCTGTTGTAACAGCGCACGTGTGGAGCGAGGAGGGATGCGCGATGATGCGCGCACCGATCTCGCCTTTTAGCCTCTCCTCCGATCACAATTAATGATTAATTGGACTCCTTCTCGTTTCGGGTCAGCGGCCGCCGCCGCCGCCGCGGTGCAATAACTCTTCCGGCCAATTAAAATCCGAGCCCGCCGCGAGTCCCGACGCGCATTGTCAGCGGGCCGAGAGAAGAATCGGCCCTAAAACTGTCATACTATCGATATCTCACTGGGACTCTTGAATGCGAAAACACGGCGTCGCGAATCCGAAAGCTCGGCCGAGCCGTTCGACGCGGCTCGAATGCGAGAGGCACCGAGCGCGCGACAATAACTAATCCGTTGACAATGGCGAGCGAGCCGGGCGGGCCGCGAAGCTTGTCAATTGTCACCGGGGCATTGAAAATTGTTCCCGGCTCTCGATCGTCCAAGGAAAATCGCGAGCCGGGCATTCAACGTGTTAAACGCGCGCGCGCGCGCGCGAGCGCGACCCTAACGAACGCGAACGAAGGAAAGAACGAACGCGCCCCGCCAGCATTTAAATATGGACTCGGCACGACGATAAGTCACGATTCGATTAGCCCGTTGCCGGGAGACTGGAAGGAGCCTCTCGCACGTGTGTATCTTATCGTAAACTCACGCCTCCTCTTCTTCTCCCGGAATTGCTCGCTCCACCGGCGCGACGACGACCACGGCCCCGGCCGGAGCTCCTCTCCTCTCTCGGTGTACACGGAGAGATTGTATATACGCGGCCGGCGCGTGGGCGTACGTTAAAGGTGCACCCCATATTGTGCACACTTTTAACGATCGCCGCTTTCAACTGTAACAATTTGCATCGCTACTCACCCGTGTTTCTACGTTTCGCGATTTACGGTATCGCCGTGCCCGATACCGAGGGTACGGCGTATTTCAGGTGGAAACGATGCAATCACGGTGCTCTCTAAACCGATACCCTCTTTCGTCATCGATTCGCTATCCGACTGTGACGTTCGCGCGCCGAGCGACCCGTTCGTCACACGTGGGTGATGCTTTTTCACCGGAGATCGTGAAAAGAAGAACGTGTTCGGACTAATACGTGAACGTGTATTCGAGGTTTTTGGAATGCGGAAGGGTTCGAATGATTGTAGCAATTGCTGCGATAATTTGTAATTGTAGTCAATTTTCCCTAATTTTCCTTCAGCTCGCAAACAAAAGTGGACGATTTGGGAAGAGGAGGTACGATTATTATGAGCCTCGCGGCTCAGTTTTATAGTTTTTAATCGTCGACAATTCTAAAAACGAGGCGCAAGGCTCGATTAATCGTGTCTCTTCTTCCCAAATTGGCCGTCCT